TCCCTACACTATGTCTGAAAAGTTATCTTTGAGACATCCTGAAGCACGTGAAGTACCGTCATCTGAACACCACTAAAGCTGATCATTTTCCCTGGCATGAGTCTGACAGAGGAGGCATCTACAGATTACTTTGGGTATCTTGTCAGTTCTACTTTTCAAATACACTTTTATCTTCTATACTTCATTTTTGCCCTGGATTCAACACTGCCAAGAGCAGTCTGTTCTTGAGCGCTTCAGTCTGGAGAATTGCAGAGGAAACGGTCAGTGCACAAATGATTAGCCAGGATAACGCACTTCCAAACTCGAATAGATTTCACTTTTGTTGTTGACTCTGACTCTGTGTTTCCAAGGCTGCGCTGGCTACTTATTTGCGGCCAAGGAGTTATTTGCTTTCAACTGTTATTAATGATCCATACATTTTAGAGGTACTGTTACAAGAGATTGCTCCAACTATCAGTTTGGGTAATTGAGACCAGTCCTCAGCTCTGAAGCTCTTTTGCATCAATAACCTGCGTGGACCAGAGTCTATACATATCCAAATCAGGAGCCTTGCTTGAACAAGTAAGTAGGACATTAATCTTTCAATGGTGGGTATCAAATATATAATACTAATGGATACATGATTAACCGATTTGTGAAATCATTGGTTAAAGAAGGTGTCTTGGGGCAAGAGGAGTGAGTGGAGAGTGCAAAAGTGCCTTTATGTGAGAAGCTAGTGTGAGCACTAGAGATTGGTGCAGCCAGGTGTCAAATACAAGTGCGTACAGGGACAGGGTGAGTAAAGCGAGTGTAGTAGTGACACTTTTCTTTGGGGGCAGCATGACTATGGAAATGTTCCCAGCTATAAATACACAAAAAAAACCTACACACAATGCTCAGCTAATTCATCCCATGCCACATCCTTTGTTCATGCTACTAATTTGGATCTCTCTATCACTTTTTATCTCTGGCTGCTATTAATCTTTCACACAAATATGAATGCCCTGTGTACAACATGATTGCTACAGCTGTTATTTTGTCCTCTGAACAAACTATTAGCATTGTTTTTAATACAGACCCCATGTATTAAATGGATGATAGAGCACCCATTCACTGAAGTACCTCTTAGAGCTCAGGTCTAATTCAGCATAGCTAACTTGTGGGGAATTCCTCTGCATAGTGGGATCCTGGAAGACATGAGGCTAGACAATTGGTTTTGTGTCACACCTTCTGGTTGCTTCTTGGTTGTGGCTACAAGATATGCACACTTGGACCACACTGGCATGCAAGAGGTGGCAGATTGCATCTGATGCGCAGCTATTGGAAGGGAAGAACCACAAGTTGGGTGAGTTTGGGGTTTTTCGGGGGGGGGGTGGGGGAGAGGAGGTGGGAGGAAGGTGTTGCATTGAGGTATACTTTAGAGTACTCCTAAACCTTCACTAGTCAGTGGCAGTGGTAGAGCCTTGCCCCAATAGCTAAAGAAGGGTCCTCTCTACAACGTGAATAACTTGCCTTGATTATTCATCTCCCTAAGAGGTTCTGAGAAGAAGCTAGATGAGCTTTCCCTTGGGGGAAGTGAATAACAACAGCAATCAAAATACTGCCTTTCCTTTTCTTTAGTCTTAATCCTTTCTTCATTCTGCTCAGCCAGAACCAAATGTCTGGTTTAATGTTTCTATATCTGTCAGATACAGATGTGTTTTGTTACACATGTGAATACTTATGCTTACAAGTTTTTGAACCTTTTAAATATTATATTTTAACTTTGTCCCTTTTTTCACTTTTTTTTTTTCCCCCACCAGTTTAACACCACTATTTCCTAAACCCTGTCCTTTCCCCAGATACTGACCACATCGCCTCTGGGTGCTACTCCACTAATAAAACAAATAAAGATATGTGGATTATGGAAGCCTTTATAGACCTACATGGAAATCATCTGGCTCAGCTGGCAGGGGTCATGCAGACTTTTTCCATGGGTTATAGTCTGTGTGGTTTCACACCCAACAAATGTCAAAGCAAAACTCAGCTGCAATTGCCAAGTTTTGTCTGTGTTTGGGTTAAGTCATAAAAGAACTCACCAAATTCCACATCAGTCGTTTCAGAATTGCAAGAAACCACCCAGGTTCAGTGAAGAGATCAAGAATCTGGTGAAAATTTTGGCAAACGTCACCAGAACAATGGCTCAAGGAAACCCTGGTTTTTGAGCCTTCTATAGCGTGACCATCCTGATAGCTGGTCTGTCCTTATGCCAAATAATTATTGTTCCTTGTGACTCTTATTTTGTATAGAAATACTCAGAGTGAACATACAAGCATGACTCTCTAGTGTTCTTTAGGCATTCGACTGTGCTCACTTGCAAGGTTTCTGAGGATGAAAGGACTGCCTCAGCAGTGAAGAAGGTTGTTGCTCATGAGTATGAGCATGGATGGAGCTGATGAGGTTTCAGAAGATTCTCAGCTTAAAGAGGAAAACAGGAGTGGTGAAAACCTTTTCACCAAAAAGTTTAGCAGTGGTCCACAATGGTCCAGCACTGCGGAGTGTATCGCTTTTCAAGAGCGTAAATGATCTCCTGGAAGTCAGGAGGACTTGCTTTCCTAATGGTTAGGGCATATTTACAGGCTTTGGCGGATCAAGACAACGAAGCATAAAAAAGCACAATCATAGCATGCTTGGCACTGATACATTTTCTGGCAGCAACATCAGTTTGGTTTTCAACTGAAGACAGACAAGCATAAAATCAACCAAGGAGGACCAGACCTGTGTTTCTAATAGCCAAGACAGGTGACTACATTTTTTTTTTAATTATTCATTTAAGTTGAAGATAAAAGTCAAATGTTAGGTTATTTCCTGTATATGGTGTCTTGAGGATGCTTAATGCCTTCTACTTACAGTCGTTTTACGAAATAAAAATTGGGCAAGAAGCGTTCTCTATACAGAATTAGAAATATCTTAAGGGAAATGTGGAAAGAAACACTGGCAAGCAAAACTGAGTGGCTAGTAAATTCCTGACCACCAGCTTTTCAGCCTCAAAATCAAATTGTAACAAACCTCTTTCTGAAGTTCAAAATGTTCAGAATTTTCTTTTGCCATTAGCTTGGAGCAGGGGGGATGGGATTATTATTAGTTCTAGCCCTCTCCACTTCTGTGATTCGGTATGGAGTAATGGTTGCAGACTGTAAAATGGATTCTCTGCTGGGCTAACTCAGTTCCTCTGATGTCAATGGACTTACTCAATTACATCAGTTTACAGCTAAGCTACTCTGTCCTTAAAATGCCCCGACTTCAGTCAGACTCTCAGACTTGCGTATTCTTTGAAAAAATACTCAGTTCAGGCATTATCTTAAGCATGCCTCAGCTTTTAACATTCATTTCGCAGCTATGTTAGAAAAAAATCACAGCCTTGATCTCCAGTAACAGCCAAAGTACCGTGTAAGCTGTTTCCTCTTTGCACAAATGGGATGAAATGTTATGCCATCTTTTCATGCATTTTTAAAGAGCGCTTACGTCTGACTACGTTCAACTGTGCTGCAGGCACAAGACTCACCTGAACCATTGAATTCAAGAAAGAAGTGTCCCCCAAAGAAGAATCTGGTGCAATATGAAGATATTGCAGCTCCGTGGAGGAAACTGGATTGTATCACTCTGAGTATCTTTGTGAGAGCCGCACAGCACAAAATGGTATTCCAACACTGAACAGCATACAGCGTGGATAAGGGTAAGTGGGGGAGAGGGAGAAGGCTGGGAATGGGGTCAGAATACTGAGCCAGGTGATGAGGAAAATAATGTTCTCTGTGCTGGAAAAAAATTGCATAATCTTCCCTATGAAATAATATAGGACATGAGGTAAGTAGAAAGTGATCATTTAACTTCTGCCAGGTAAAAGTTTGTCAGGCCAAGTTCCTGTATTATTTTCTTGGAATATTTCCCCACCTCAAATCATTTGTAGTATTTTCTTTACAATGTGATAGTAATGCTACAATGGAAACATATCACTGCTTTTGATTGCAAGGCCAATGATGGGTGCACTATGCTTATCTCAGGTAGTTGGGACTCTCCCACTACTTAAGCTTTTGGGGAGTCTGGAGGTTTTTTGTAGCTGATCTTAGTTCTGTTTTGACACGCCATAACATGCACCACACTTCTTATGGCAGCCCCTCACATTATAATAGAGTGTGATGGCTTTGTCCTTAGGTGCCTGTGCAGGCATCTAAATCGTTACTGGGTATGAAACTGCACAGATATGAAAGACGTCAACTGGAAATCACTAAAGATTTCTTGTCTCTTGCAAAACATTATTCAGTGAGTGAAAAGATAAAATAAAGACCGCTGTTCTGGGAGCATCACTGTTTGACTCCAGCAGGCAAATACCAGAGGGATATAGACCTTTGCAGGACCACAGTAAGACAGCTAAAAGACAACACAGCCCCCATGCAACATTTTAGCACTGATGAGAGACTCCCTTACCTACTCGAAGCTCTTGTCCGAAGACCGTTTTCTCCCCCAGCGCAGAGCAATTCCACCTCCCGTACCGGAACTGGTACTGGCATTCATTGATTCCCATTTGTGCCCCTTCTCCGATCACAATGATGGCATCGGGGCGGCTCTGGCAGATGGCTCGTTGTCGAGGGGCCAAGCCTGGGATTTTGTTGCAGATTATATTAGCTCCTAAAGCCACCACAGATGACAAAGCTCTGAAGAAAAGCGGAAAGACGCATTAGAATTGAATTGAGACCATTAACTGCATTTGCTGCGCACTGCTGTGTGGCAGGCAAGGCACTGGACAAACAGGGAAGGGCTGGAAGTTTGGTTCCTGTAATTATGCAGACTTATCCCAACCTCTCTGGTCTGGCAAATGGGTTTGGAAATCCTGCAGTAATGCCTGGTTTGGTTTGTGCCAGGAACACCACACGGACAGGCTCTCTCCTGGAATTTTTGGCACTTCGGCTTCCAGTCCTACACGCAGCCATGAACTAACGAGATGTGGAAAGCAAGCAGTGTTTAAAAGCAGAAAATAAGGGATAATTGAGGTCTGCGAATCTCTGAAGCTCAGGTCTGCTTTAAATTGGCTTACTTAGATTCAGGCTCAGCATTTTAATTACTGCAGCCAGTTCATCCATCCTTCATTTGAAACCACTGAGCGCAATGTAGAAAATGACTCTAGCAACCCTCTTGCCCATTATTATGCTCAGAGTACTGAGCAATTAATGGAAGTTCACTAGCATAACACTACTTTCAGACATGGCAAATATCATGGAGGACATATAAGTGTTCCTTAATATATGTCATCCAAACCAGAAACATTTGTAGTTCTCATTCTTCAAGTATATTTTCAGAAATTATAAAGCTTGTATTTAACTTGCACCTGCCATATGTTTCTAGTTTAGAGCATTTATTTATTTCATTTTTCAGCTCACTTTTCAACAGCTTTAGGGGCTCATTTTTGAACATCTTTACGGGTGATGTTTTAAGTAGTACTATTTTGGGGAAAAAAGACAATATGGCTACACGTTTAGTAATGCCTCAGGTCATATATACCCAGTACCACACAGGGATGCTTGAACTGCCTCTGAGTGAGCTAGCAAAAGCAGAGAGAGCGATACAGGTGCATTAGCAAAACAGGACTTGCCCAGCACAGTGCTGCGGGCTTGAGGCGTGCTGCTCCATAATGATGCCTGTGGATGCAATTTCTCATCCTTGCCTGATCCTTGTTGGCTGCAGTGAAGTAGCTCCACAAACCCACTCCTTGCTTTAGCTTGTCCCAAACTGGATATTGAAATGTATGGGTAGTTGCATTTTCCCAGCAAATGCTGTTGTTGACTGCCTCTGTAATGTAGGTGTAAAGATGCTTTCCCAGCTCATGCTGCAGCGCTTGGGTTTAACTCAAGTTTCCCAATAAGAGAAGTTGCCATATGTATAGGTTAATAAAAGAATAACAAGTAAGTTCCCTGTTACCTTTCTCTCCATCTTGAATGTTCACTTAAGCCACTAATGTTAATGTTAAAAATTTCCCACTGAAAATGCTGTTTTTCGAAAATGCTGACTGAACAAATTTGAAGCATTTTATAAGAATATATCGACTTCATCTCAAAGGTAACTGAAAAAATACAGAAATCTTGCATTTCAACAAAATCAGAGTGTTTCATTTTGCCATTTCAATAAACTGCAATAAAGCCAGAGCAAAAAGGGTGAAACCAAGAACTCTTCCCTGGTCAAAATGAAATACCAGTTTTACTGTGGAATGGAAATTCCATGATGATTCACTCTCCTTTAATAGGTATTTGTGCATCTTTTCCAAAGCTAACAATCTATGAAAAATTTACCAATTCTATTTTTTTATTTATGGTTTGAGGTTTTATTGATATAGAGACAAGGTATTGCAAACACAGAGCATGCATGCCATGTGGTACTTCCTATTAAACAAAAATAAGAACAAAATGTAGTTGCAGCTCTGACCACTCACAGTGGTCGGAATATGAGTGCTCAGACCTCTAGCTTTAATTCATATTCCTCTGGGTACTGAGGAACAGAGTTGGAGTATAAACTGGAACCAGTGAGTCGCGAAGATGCATGCAGGTTATGAGCTAAGATTTTGCTTTTGGCCCACCTTTACTTAAATAACAGTATAAAATATTTAAATGATGATGTCTTTAAATCAGGACTTTCCAAGAGATATGATAAAGTTCAAAAAACCGTTATGAATTTGATGCAGAGATAATGAAACTCTGTGACCTGTACAATGGTACATTAGGTGGTAACTGCTGGCTTCAAAGTATATTGAAAATCATAGGGAAAATTATCAATATTTGATTTTTAAAAAAATCGGACTCTTGTCAATACTGAAAAGTATGCATGTTGTTTTCTTTCATAGTTTGTGGAGCTTTTGTCTCTTTGACTCAGGGACCCTCCACCAAATGTGGGATGTACGTTCTCAAAATGTTGCAGTAGAGAGCGAAGAGGAGAAAAATGTTTCCTTTATAGCTGGTGCATCGTATTCACAAATATACACTCTTTGATCACTTTAAAATGCTAGGATCCTTTTTTGAGTCATGTTAGTACCGAGGTCTGCTCCTTTTATCTTTTTCAAGCGATGATGAGGGAAAGATGCTTTGTACAGGGTATGAGTGTATCCAAACCACATAATATCCTACAGCATTACACCTTTTAATAGAGAAGAGCAGTAGTTGGATGCCCTTCTCGGTGACTAAGAAAACATTACAGTTTGAATTCTCAGCAGTGGTTTTTTGAACTGCAGTAATGCAGTTACACTCTCTACATGATGAATTACAAACAGACTGCAGAAGATTTCACAGCGCATATTTACAGGGAGGCAGTGGAGAGGGCAACTTGCAAATGCAGTTGTGCTCTGAAAGTGAAACGCCCTGTTGTAAATGACGTTGTCGGATCCCATGCTTATTTGTCCTAATGATTCCCAAGCAAATTCACGGGGCTTACAAGGAAAAGGAGGTTTTTAACTGCTAGCTCTGCAAATTCATCCCAGGACTTGAACGTCAAGCTGTGTTCTTCAGGCTCGCGTATCACTACCACCAGAAATAAAACTTCTCTTCCCAGTACTGTGCCCTCCTCCTCCTTGCCATCAGTTTTACCCTTGCAATCTGATGGATTTCAAATGATGCAGGAGCAGCCCTCCCACATTTAGTTGACAGCATGGTCAATAAACGCAGGTGTAACCTGAAGAAGATGGGATTGCGTGGGACTCTGTAATTACAATTTAGTCAACAGTTTCTCTGATTGAGGGAGTCCGAAAGGACTTTGCATTACATGTGTCAGGATGTTTCTACATAAACACAGAAAATGAGAAAAGGGATGAATTTTTACAGTCCTTTTTCAGAGCAGCCAGGGCTCCCTGGCAGCAAAACCCCAGGCTCTGTCAGCGACTCAGCATATGGAGCAGCTCTCCAGGCTGTGTCCCTTCACTAACCAGTGCCCTCCTGGAGGCTTTGACTGCATCCCTGGGATGGAGCAAGCTCCCAGGCCTGCTGCAGTTGTATGAGTGAGCCTGTGGGACCACCCCAGCTCCAGCCTTGCAGCAGAGGATCCCTTTGCAGTGCACTGCTTCAGTCACTGACCCGTCTAGAAAAGTTAAGCCTGAAGGGATCTAGGTTTGGGTCCTCAGGAGTGGGCATGCACAAGTGTTCATAACTTGAGGCAATGTTCTGCTGGTGCACACAAGAAGCAGTATCCAAGTCTAGTCCACTGGGTGCTAGATCGTCAGTGACTTGCCGAGGCCATGTTTAGCTCAAGTGGTGGCTGTCTGTCATTAGCCGGAAACAGGATTGTGTGAGTTTTTCTTTTCTTAAGCAACCAGTTTGAGATAGCTTTTAGATGCCTTTTTTTTTTTTCCAAAAAGTGCTGAGCCCCAGCAGTTCCCCGCTAACTATATCTTAAGTTGGACAGCAAACACTTGTGACTTACAAAACAAAGGAAAACAGGGAAGAGTTGGCTACAATATTTATCCCACATATAATTTTCAGTTTGCTTATTTCTTCCATGCACATTGCTACTGTCTAATAATTGGGTTAAAGAGCGTATTCTTTGGTCTCCCATTGTTTTTCCAGCAAGCCTTGGTCAAAGTATTTTAATACAGCAGGTCAGTTAGTTTATTCATCCATAAAACAAGTGCGATCATATCTGCCTCAGACAGTATTGTGAGGATATTGTAATTACTGCTTGTGTGCAAAGATATTTCCTATTAAAAGCATTGGGTTGGGGGGGGGGGGGGAAAATTTCTCAGGTTTTTTTATTACTACTACTTCCAGGGACTTCCTCCTCTTTGGTCTGAACTTACCAGCATGTTCCCTCAGACTTGTTTAGCCTATTTTTAAATTGTTACTATAGTTTTGGTGCTAATAGAAATGCTGAATCATGAAACTGAGGTTTTGGAAAAACTTCATTTATATTAAAGAAATGCACCCAGCAGCATTTCAAGCTTCCTCTCTGCTATTTCTTGTGGCGTCCCTCAGTTTGTGCGTCTGTCACACATGCTGAAGGGTTGTGCTGCGCTCCTGGCCCTTGGCAGGTTGAAGGCTGCATTTGTTCCTAGTTGGGGAATGCTTTGCTTTGTAACTGTCAAAAGGCAGATCCACACGCCACGTTTTGGCGTCTTCTCCCATCTAATCTTTCTTTGCGGTGCAAATTCCCTTGATTCTTATCGCAAGGAAATCCTGAGCGCAGTGTTTTGCTAAGATTTCTGGTGCAGTTTACTGTAATTGTGACCATACCACACTGCGATAGCCTGAGCACGTTTTGGAGTTGTACGTGGGGTCACCCACATGAGTTATCCAGTTCAACAGTATTAGTGGGACCATGTTGCATTTCCAAAGTAATTAATGGTAGTGGTTGCCTTATGAAGAGTCTTCATCTTTCTTAGTCATCAATCATTAATCCAAGGGAAATGCCAGCACTGAAACCGAGCTATGGTTATGAGCCGAGTTAAATCCAAGTTAAAAAAAACCCCGAAAGGTCTGGGCTTAGATAGGACCTTGCAGTTCAAGCTTAGAACAAACTAAAAGTGAGCAGTGATATTTTGGAAGGCCTGGCTTCTGCATCGCAATTCTGAACTGTCAAGTTTATCATTCTTTGAAAAAATAACTACATCTGCAGTCACAGTCTGGATATAAGCAGAAATTTGTGGCAGTGGGAGACGATGTTTCGGCTAATTTTCTGAAATAGTGTGCAAAGGCAGATTACTATTGTTGCAAAAGGTGAAAATTCTCCTTCAAAATATATTCCCTATTATGGTTGTATCTTTTCTGCGGGAGTGACATAGCTATTAAAAAAAAAGTGTGTGTATATATGTGTATATATATATATGTTTTACAACTTTATGTGGAATAATGGAACGATCACAATAATGTGAATAATTGTATATTCTAAGCAATTCATAAAAGTTAAATATCTCTGAAAATTCTTCAAAAATTAAACAATGAGGCCTAAAATTCATGTGATTTTTAATAACATAAAATTTAATGCAGTATTGCATGTCAGAAGAGCAATGTATTTCTCATTCAAAAATAGCTTTCTTGAGACCTTTTTTTACATTTTACAAGTGCATATGTTTGCTTAACTGATTTCAAATCAGTCATTTCATTGATTTCAAATATTACTCATTTCATTGATTTCAAATATTACTATGCCCTTGCAACTGCAAATGAAAATCATAGACAGAAAGGTAGTCACTTAAACAGTATGTTCTGGAACGGCTTAGAATATTATTTGGACAAGCGGAAAATATATAAATATAAAATCCCTGTGATGGATAGTTGTCCCACCACATGCACTATATGAGGAGAATTCTTATGTTTTCTTTTAGAAGAACCTGAATTTTGACAAAATGATAACACGGAAGTAAGTATTTTTATAGATAAATGCTAGTAACTAACCAGCCTTCACACTTCTCCCCAAGCTCTGATACAGACAAAGGTATGCACTGAGATTTCTCCAAAGACCTTAAAATTTGATTCCAACAATCATTTAACAAAAGGAGATATAGAAAAGAGACGTTAAACTTTTATGTGCTCGTGTCGTTCAGATGAAGCACTTAATCCAATTGATTTTAAAAAAATCTACCCTAAAAATTCGTCTCAATTCGTGTTTGCTCCTTGCACAAATAACGTTTTATTACAGGCCACAAGCAGCATCAGGAGCTACACCTTCTTCTCCGACACCCTTGCTAATTTGTATTCCTGGCCGCAAAGCAGTGCAGTACACATTTCCCCCCAAGCTGCTGAGACAGCCTTACTGTAAGTCCTTTGAATAAGCGCGCTTAGGGTTACCGTGATGTCACCCCTAGCTGTGCTACTCGATATTCACCTTAAGTTGCTGTTGAGTAGGGGTTCGTTTTCAGCGTGGAATGAAGGGATTTAGCCACACGAATCCCATTAGCAGAAGAGGAGCTGCACGGCTTAAATCTCTGTGCACTGTGCTGAAAACTTACCCCACAGTGCCTGATAAAAAGCACTATAATGGAATCTTTGTTAAAAGGAACCACTGACATATTTTGTGGTGACATTGTGACACATCTGAAACAGTACACCACTACTGAATGGTTTATTTAATTAAGAATTCCTAAGTAAATATTTTGAGCATGCATAAGTTGCAGAAATTGGCAGAAGCTTCCCCGGCTCTGAATTCCATCTGCATATGTTTATGCTTTCAATTTTGTTTTCTGCAGTGGGCTTTAAGAAATCATTGTTTAGTTCATGGGTTATTGAAATGGAAATCAAACAAGCCTGCTCAGTACTGCCCTGTGGTGCACTGATCTCCGCTGGAGCTCCAAGCCGAGTCTTCGGACTCGTGGGCCACCGATAGCAACGCGATCGCTCGCATGAAATGGCAAGCAAAGATTTCTTGGAGGACGTCAGAAAAAGCCATCCAGATATAGTGTGACTGATGGCACAGTCAAGAATGGAAGTGGTAGGATAGGTAAGCTTGACGGACGACTCACCCAAGGGCACTTTGTGTCCTGGACTAAATAAATGCTCTAGGGAGGACTGAGAACAAGGATCCATGTTACATTCTTGTATGGGACAGTGATGGGGGAGACTGTAAAAAAGCCGTGGGTTCATACCCTTCCCTAGCTGCCAACTGCGAGGCACCATATTGCTGCTGTGAAGCCAGCCCAAAATGGGTTAGGCTTCCAGAGAAAGGAGAGGTAGCAGAGAGGTGTCCCCAGGTCGCAGTGCGTGCGGAGCTACGGCTTACGTGCTGAGCCGAGGGCCCGGGCTCGCAGCCTGCGCTGCAGCAGCAAGCGCGGGTGCTGGCAAGGGGCAGGCTCAGGGCCCGACACTTTCAACTCCTTGGAGATGACACTTTTATGCGGTGCCTTCTGATGTTGCATTTACCCCATTTGTTTTCTGGGGAATGAGTTACCAAAAAGAAAATTTACACCAGGTGTGAATGCTATTAGCCAAAAAGGACATGGTAAAAGCCCCATTACTGTAGCCTAGCCTGGGTTCAACAGAGCACCTTCTTCTACAAGAAGAGGAGTTTGTAGCTTGCACTGAATGTCTTTAGTTAGAGTGCAAAATCATAAGAATATCAGTTGTCCTGAGCCTGAAGTGAAGGGTAACTGGGAGGTAGTACTCATTTTGCTTCCTAAAGCGAGGTAGCTGCAGCTCAGTTAGCCCCTGAGCTAATCCTGATCTAAGTATTATTATGCCAAGATAGGAGGGATGGGAGTGGTTAGACAAAAATTGACTCTCCTACTCACTAGCTGTCATAGATCCCATTAATGCTTGGCACTGGCCTTTAGTTAAGTCTTACTCATCATGCCAGAGCAAGAGAAAGCAAGAGTATCTATGACTCAGAAGTATTTCTGGCAGGATGTTCCCTGAGAATTATTCCCAAAATGACATTCCAGTCTGATTGTAAATTAATCCATAGCTAATTTGATCCATGGCTAGTCCACTAAAATAATTTTTAATTATCCTTCAGTGAGGCAGCACTTGATATGTAACTGGATATCTTGGAAATATGTTACACCTCCAGTTTACTTATATTCAGTTCCTTTCAGGCTACTAGCTCATTATATATGAGACCAATTTACAGAGGTTTTTTTCAGGATGCATTAGCCACTGATTTCATTTGCAAGAGCCAACAGGTCTTATCCTCTGAGTATTAATGTTTTCTCCAAAAGAATTATTAAAAAAGTAATGAGTTTATTTCTCATTTTTCAGTTATGTTTAGAGCAGAACAACATGAAGACTTGATCCAAAGCAGGCCTTTCTGATATGAAGTCCCAATAATCTCAAGGAGATAGTAATCTTTGATGATCATGTACTAATTTAGGAGCCATTCCTCGACATTGATGTCTGTAAGAAAACGTTTACAGCAAGAGAAGACTCATGGAAGACGGAAATGCCTCAGAGGTATGTATATCTCCTATCATATAGAATCACTCTGAAGAACTGGACATTTAGATATTCTCTTACAATAGTCATTCTGAATTTGCACAGCAAACTCCCGTATAACTAGCTCTTTCATTTTTGTCCATACTCACGTTATTTTAAGGGTGTTCTTGTTAGAAGTTGGAAAACATCCACATCTTGTATTTATGAAAATCCCAGAATTAAAATAGGATGTTAAAATATCTCAAGTGTGGGAAACAGTGATTCCAAAGCAATATGGGTTTCAAAAAGCATTTGATTTGCTAAACCGGAGTAAACTGATCGGTCTTAGCAATCTATGGCCTGTGTTAGAAGCTGCAGAGAAGGCAACAGCTGTCCTGGAATGCGCAAGGCAATTTGTGAAAGGCTGGATTATTCCTACTTTGGTCTTCCCAGGATGAAGATGGTGAAGCACATGAAGTAATTGGACTTATCCATATATTATATATCCATATATTCTTATGAAGAAAAATAGTGTTGATTTAAAATTAGCTGATTCCTTTTAAAAACCCGGGACCTTATCAGATTTAGAAATCAAACTGAAATACTTCTGCTTCATGCAATTTTTTTCTTGTGGCGATATAAACACACTGTTAACAGGATCTACCATTTCAGTTCTGCAAGCATCCGCACACCTCTATTACATGCTATCACTCCTGCAAAGTACTGAGCAGCTTCCATCATCAGAAACAAAATTGTCCATTCCTGAATGTCGAGGTGCCTGCTGAGAACTTGCAGTTGGTATTGATGTCTAGCATTATTATATCCTTTCACCCCATTTCTCTTTTCCTTTATCACTGCAAAGAATCATGCTGATATCTCATAGGAAGTTACGGAGTTGTTTGCTGAATAGGGATTTACCACAGAAGAGAGCAAATTACCTTGCAGCATAACAGTAGTGAGATATTGCATTTCCACTGTGGGGGAGTCCTACTTTGGAATACCGAAACGGCTGGAAGAGATAAACCATACATGCGCCTACACAAAGCAATTCAATATTAGGGGAAAATAAAAATTTCACACTTCAAGACATAAAATTCTAGACTTTTGTTACATTTTTCTTGTAACAAATATGAAGGAATGAATTCTCTCCATTAAATATTTCTGAACATAGACATTTTCCAAACTTTATCAACTTCATCAAGTCTTAATTACACATAACTGGAGTGTATGTTTGGCTTTGTCCAAAGTCTGTCAGACTGCTCTCCCCTATGAAAAAGTTATGAAGGGAAGATAAAGATGAAGTCCTTCAGGCACAGTCCAAGAATTGGCTAGACTATGCCCTCCTTAATTCGTGAGATCTGATGAAACTGCACCCAGTCATGATGTGGCTCTGAAGCCTGGTATAGTGTTGCGGGGCAGAAACATCTATTCCATTTGGCTAGTTCACTCTAAAGCATCATTTAGTCAATAGCAGGTATGTACTTGTGGTTTTTAAATATTAAAAATCAACTGTTGGTGAAACCTATTAAAAATATATGTTTTTGTTATATTTTCCATTTAACAGTTATGTATAGGACATAGCTTAATTTTTTGACTTTGCATGCATAGGGCTTCCAAGGGCATGATATGCAAAGTGAAAGAGGAATGTATCTAATACTGGATCTGCAGGAAAGGAAGATGTCTGCTTTCCAAAAGGAAGTAATCCGACTTTACTGCTGCGGTGGTTCAGATAGGAATTCATTTTTATAGCCAAGATCTGGGCAGTCAGAGAGATTGAATTCAGTGAACCTGTGCTGATTTACACCAAATGAGCCAGTCTGTTGGAAATCTTACTGTTTTATGTTAATTTTAAAACTATGTTGTAGTGTCTGTAAAGTGTGAAGATGCAGGTATGTGGCTTTAAGCTACAACTAGGAAGGCATAAAAAGTAGTCTAAGAGGTGCCTGCAAGTGAGGAAAGTGAAGAGGCCATACTGACCTCACATACAACGTGTAATTTGGACTAAATGACCACCGGAGGTTGCTATTTCTGCACTGATATATGGCCCCAAATCAAGCTGCCTGCCTGGCACTAGGACGACTCTTTAAGACAGAGGTCTTGAATTAGTAGCAGAAGAGAAAAAGTTACGTTCCTTTTGTCAGTGACGTTAATTTGTTTACACACTGAATGCACCAATAAACCTTGAGTCATGGTCTGTCTCTTCATTTGGTAGTAAATCTTTGCTATAGCCACAAAATATCAAGAGTATCAAATTGTATAACATTAGCAAACAAAATTGAAAACAAGACCCACATACTTTATGCTGTCAGGTTTACTTACTGGCATATTTCTACTGCTGAAATGGGTGTATTGCTCAAAACAGTGGCACTTTTTGCTGTGTACTACTGTTCTAATTATCCCATTTAAGGCAAGACTGTTGTCTGTCAGCACGGGGGATGAAGAGCGTAAGCTCTTCTCTTGATTCTTCTGAACAATGTATTAACCTTTGAGATCACAGCACAGAGCAGCCTCTCTTCTGTAAGTATGGAGGATGTAAGGAAGCAGGTGCAAGGACTGGACAGTTCCCTACTAGTGCCCAAACGCACCCGGAGGATCATTGGCTTCTTGGCATGTTCCCAATTGGATCGCAGAGGCCTGATCCCGGCACTCTTTC